GGACCCGCTTCTATGCTCCGATCAGTCGCATAATGTTTGCGACATTTTTCATGAATTTCTAGGGAAATCCTTCTCTTGAAAATTTCGGCCTTACCATCCTTTCTTCTTCTACTGGCCAAAACAAATGATGCCAACTGCTTTTCCTTCACAACACTAACACTCGTTACAGAACCGTCCTTCAACATCTTATCACACAAGAAACACTCGCGATCAGACATTTTTCACTCATATACATATAAGACCACGATACTAACATGTAAACACGGAACATGAACTAAAAAAATGCGTCGACGCCATGAATTCTGAAAGTATAACGTAAGTATGGTTAGGTTACATAACCCGCTATGCGCCAAGGTTTCTAAAGTTAATAGGTTGTTTGGTAATGGGTAACTTGATGACGTAATCTAGGGTGCCTTATGGAAATTTGAATTATGTTGAAGCACCCCAGATGACGTCATAAAAGTTATCAGGCAACCTGCCTCTCTCAAACAACCTTGGCTATGAGCTACGACGGGCAGTTTGAAGAAGTATGGGGTGGGGCCAATGAAGTAGTAAGAAGGTTTGGAATGGGCTTTGCGTCATCCAATTGATTCCAGAATGCGATAGTGGTAGTAAGAGCAAAAAATTTATTGGATCCTGGATCTTTCACTCTAACCCTGAGTGAGATAGCGCTAGTAAGAGCAGGAAAATCTCACAGATCTCTCCTGTTCTCCCACTCTAAAATTAATAATATATATATTGAGTAGATAGGCAAAGGGCAGGGCCATTCCAACCTTCTTACTACTTCATTGGATGGGCGCGTCAGGTCAGCACCATAGATATTCAGAGGTGTTAACATGCATTTAAACGTGTGTGGTACACCTAAAAACATAGAGTACTAGTACTCAGTGGCGTAACTACCGAGGGAGCAGAGGGGGCCGTGGCCCAGAGGCGCGGAAAATCGCGTGACGAACGCGGAGTTTTTAAAATTTGTCCCTCAGCGGGGAAATGTCAACTTATTGCGATATCGCAAAAAAGTTAAATTATTTTGCGCGAATTTTTATTCTCCGTCACTTTTTACTGTCACCTGTGAGATGTGTGGTACGACATTTGATAAAAATCACTAAAATATCATGTGAAATACCCTAAATATACCTAAAAATCCGCTTGCGGAATTTCGCTTCATGTGAACCGGCAAGTTATGGAACGCGATATTCCGCACCCGCAACGCGATTTTCCGCTCCATGAGAACTAGGCTTAAAGGAAGCTCGCCGAAAAACCGCGGATTTATGCGGGTGCCACTCCCAAAAACATTTGTAGAAGACTTCAAAGCTTACGCTAGCAAACAAGCAATGATATGACAGGACTGCCACAATTTATTTGAAGAAAAGCCAAGGTGGTAACCCTAGTTGGAGCAGGAGGCGAAACTTTTTTTAGTAGCCACGCTCAAAAATAACTTTTTCAAATCTAAAAGTTCCTTTTTCAGGGCCAAAAATATCTTTCTAGTGTTTCGAATTTCTGGACGCCAGAGGTGAAATTAGTGATAGGGGATGATAGTAGCTATTTATGTCATAAGGACAAAAAAAGGGAGTAGTAACGGGAGCACCTGAGCCTGAGAAATTTTTCGATACCGTGGGAAAATCTCTAGATCGGCGGCGCCTTTGATCTGAAATTTCGTGAATTTGACCCCAAATTTTTCGACGTCATGATGTTATCGGTGGCGCCATCTATCGTACATAGTGTGAAGTTCGTTGTGTCCTTTTACAGGATGCCGTAGTTGTAAATAAGAAATATTCGTGAATCAGCACGCTGTCGACGTTCAATGTGGGAACAAACAGGAGTATCATGTTTCACGGTTAACCGGTTGGCCCGGGTCAAATCCACGTAATTTCAGATCAAAGGCGCCGCCAATCTAAAGATTTTCCCACGGTATCGAAAAAAAAAAAAAAAAAAAAAACAATTAAGCGAAGCCCAAATAGACCTTCTGGGCCGAATGGCATAAATTTTATCTCCAAGCGACTGCAATATTACCTTTCACAACTATAATTTAAATAGATGGCGCCACGGCCCTGGCGTCAGAACAAAAATTAATAAAAAAAAGTCCAAAGAAGCTGAAAACTGCCTGCCTTTTATTCAAAAATTAATAGTTCGAAAATCGTCCCAACTACTCCCGACCACAGAATATGAACAGATTAATTTCACGTTTGGTGAAGTATTTGAATTACTTTTTGGGGTATTTCAATTACTTCTTACTTTCTGGGGTACCTATTTGAAATATTATAAGTATTTTTGAGTACAAATGCCCAGTATTTGAATTACTTTTTTTGTTAATGCAAGTACCAAATACAAATACTTTATTGAAAGTATTTGCAGAATCAAGTACAAATATCCAAAAACAAAAGTATTTGAATTATAGTACTCCAAATACTAAAAAGTAATTGGAATACATTTTCCAAGTAATTTACCATAATTTGGCCCTTAGACAAACAGAATATTGCATACACCACTGCAATATTGTAATTGGGTCTCGCCAAACCACTCTACCCCCAGGTCCAAAATCTGGAAGTTACGCCACTGCTAGTACTACCTACCTAAACAATAGTAAAACCACAAAAAGACCATGTTTAAATAAATTGTCAAATCAAATTTGGAATGAGAAAAATTGAAGAGTCAAAAGAAAATTAAGCACTTTTAGAATCAAGAAGTAAGGAAAAAACGAGAGCCTGGAATAGGGAAAATTATGAAAAATCAAGGATTTGAATTGAAAATGGAACATTTTCTTGATAATATGTAATACCTATATGTAATAGGTATATATAATTGGACCACCCTGTAAAAGTTAATTTTCCGTTTTCGGACTAAGGGCGGGTATTATAAAAGTACTTTGAGAGTTAACTTGTGGAATTACATGTAATTCGAAAAGTTAACTTCAAGTTAACTGTCAAAGCAGTTTTATAATACCCGCCCTAAAACTAATAATGGCGTTTCCGATTGGTAGATTCACTGCGCACTGAGTGTATTTGCATCCTTTTAATCGACCTGTAGATGAAAAAGACAGAAATAGAAAAAATTGCACTAGTTTCGCATTAGATCTACCAATTGGAAACGCCATATTATAAGTGTACGATACCACCTACAATATTGTTGGAAATGCTGACTGGTTGCAGTGGCTGAGGACTAATTAGGACACAAATGAAATACACAATACTTTACACTTAGAACTATCGTTTTTAATTTCTTATGCTCGGAATTATACACATAAAAGAGAGCGGTTGACCAACTACTATTTTTTGACAGACAAGACACTTCTTACTTCTTCTTTTTTTTAAAGTGATACTTTCAGCCTCAACTACTATTTCTATCTCAAGGATATGATATAAAATAGGTTACCTCAATATTGTATTCACAACAAATATGAAATAAAAATATTACTTTTCAATGTTTGTCTGTAAAAATATCTTCAATAATTAAAAAACTCAAAAAAAAAAGTGTATAAATCCTGGAAAATAAAATAAACAAAAGCTTCATTTACACACAAATCTAAAGCCCGTCATACACTCTGCTTAAAAACAAAAAAACGGAGATCCGTATCTTTTTTTACGTATACACACATATCAGTGCATATAAAAGAAGGATTTTTTCCTGGCTTCAAGTATTGAAAGAAAGAGGGACTTTATACGTATGTCTACGCTCTTTCGCATCGAGATGTGGGTTGCTGATAACGTCAAAAGCACTTTAGATTTTAACCAGACGAGGATAATTAGGATGAAAGCCCCATGCATATACGAAAACTGTCGTTTGATACTTTGGAAGAAAAAAATGGGTCAACGACATATTTTTTATTTCGCATTTTTTTCTTTTTTAAAAATTCAAACACAAAATTCTTGCTGACGATGGCGCCATCTAGATCTAGCAACTTGTTCAAAGAAAAGTCAATAGGAAAAAGTTTTCTTGTACTGATAAAAGATGGCGCAAAAGTTTTAAAATTTCTTAGGCGTTTTGCTTTTAAATCCTAGATGGCGCAACTTGTACACATGTAATCAATGAACTATAACCAAAAACTGGAATGCTAACACATAAGGACGAACGTGAAGCCTAGTGCGGCTGCTGCGGAGGGGATACCTGTTTTTGTCGCACTCATTATGTTAAATGGCGAAAATTGCTTCCAACACGTATTCCAATTGATGAAACCTGTGAAGGGAAATATGACAAAACTTTCGAAAACGTCATATGTCAGCGAGCAACAGAAAAAAACAACATTCCCCCTTGTGGCATCTGTCTTTCATGGCTTCATTTTTCTGGCAGATATGGCAATGTGAGCGCATTCCAGTTTTTAGCTATAGTTCATTGCATGTAATACAGTGGCTAAATAAACCTTTACATACAGTGGCGATAATAGAGGTCCCGCCGCCATCTTGTTCCCAACCTCTTGTTACTTTTAAATATTAATATAAAGGATTTAAATGGACATCTATCATAAAAAATTGGAATCGACGTATTTGATGACCATAATTAGGTCCATCAAATACGTTGTTTTCCATGATTTTGATGGATGTTCACCTAAATCCCATATATTCATATTTAAAAGTAACAAGGGGTTGGGAACAAGATGGCGGCGTTTTCAATATAAATATATGGGATTTTTGAACCAATCAAAAATAAGACAGCAATTGTCGCCACTGTGGGTTATAGAGTCACTGTAACATGTAATGCGCTCTGGTTCAATAAAGTTGCAACTTACTTGCTTGATGCTATATAGATGGCGGTGTGCGCATTGGATCCCAAAAATATCCCTTTACAGCCCCATCTTAGAGGGGTTGGTTGGGATGGATGATTTATAGTCAAAGACGTATTGTTACGTGACTAAAATTTAAAATTGATTTTATTGTTTTTTTTTTTCTCCCCCAAGAAAGTAATTTGATCTTGGATATATTACCATGTTTTTTTTTTTTTTGATTAATGGAGGAGTGTAGAGATGTTTGCTTGATTCTCAAAATTACAAAATAGATTTTCTTTTATAGATCATGTGAAACTCCGAAAACGACGTCGTCGTCTACGCTGATAGCATCGGCGCCATCTGGTCACGACATGCAGCAGCAGCAAAGGCTTATCTCGAAAGCTCCGTTCCGGTTGCTGGATAACGACGTCAAAACTGCCTGGATCAATCCCAGATTAATCTCAAAGGTAAGGATTTCTAGTTTTAAGGGAATTCTTGGCACTTGCATAAATTGTGGCCGAGGGCCGGTTTATTCACGTTCTGATAAACTAAACTGTGAGGATGTCTATTCTCGAAACCAAGAAACAGCGTTTTCATGAGAACGGTTGCTTTGTCTTTGTCAGTGTCATGGAAATATATTGAATATGGGTAACGAAAACAGAATCTTTGTTTTCATGAGAACCCTGATTTCCTGTCTCAAGAATAAAAACCCATGGCTGGGATTCTGGACTCCGTAATGGATAGAGATCTTTATTCCCGGTACTTGCCGTCTGCTTCTCCCTTTTAGAAATTAATAGAGAAGGAATGACAATTGATCTTTATTCGTTACAGAGTCCCAGTCCAGGTGTGCAGTCTGAGGGATAAAACGCAATCTGTAATCCCATTCGTCGGTCAGTTATCCGCGGTAAAATTATCTTGTAAATATAGTTATCCAAAGATAAATGTGACGGAACTACCTATTGCCCCTTTTTGGGCTTTAGTCAATCCGCACCAAGGATGCAAAAAGTTTTTACTTCGACTGACTGTAAATTGGGTTAGGCTGAAATAGAATAATTATCAATTTAATTAATAACTGAAAGTAATTCTGTATAGTCAGCAATCAAATCCTATCTAAAAATTCCTAATTGGACGTCCAGTCGAACTAAAAATTTTATACTAATCTAAAGTAAATGAGTGTCTTGATTTATAACGGGTAGGGAAATCTGATAATGATAATAACATCATTTTTGGTTAAATGTTCAATGAACGAGAACACAAATTAACTAAATAAATGCACGAGAGCACAACATAAATAATTCGTCAACTTCAATCAGTTCACTGCAATCACAAAATGTTTATTGATCCTTGAAAGTTCTTTTATTTATTGAGAGTTAACAATTTGAGCACTTTTCTGCGGAAGTCTGTAAACAATATGTGCAAGAAAAGTCTTTATATATGCTGTTTCTCTATACAAATGTACAAATGTTAATTTCACGAGTGTGAAAACCAAATTTCTACATTTAACGTTAGAAAACACTTCAATTTATAGTGCATTTCAAGCGAATCACTAATCAGCATTTATTCGACAGTTAGAGAAATTGTAACGGTCTTACTTGCTTAATCTGGTTCATACAGATAAATCCACAAGGCGATTATTTATCCATTTATCACTATTCGCACTAGCAGCTAGGGAATTTTCCCCTGAGATGAAAACACAACAAATATACAGGCGCGTTGGAGCCCGGCGAGAGTGAGAGAGAGGCAAAAGACAAGCGCGTACGAGAGAATTTTGCTCGTCCGAGGTGACTTGCAACAATTAGGAGTTAATTACATAATATGTAATCAATAATATAGACCATGTCAAGCCTTGAGACACAGAGAGTAGTATTTTGTTTGTTAAATGTTTCAAATTCAAAAAGTTGTTATAAACGGTTCGATCACCTTGAATTTTTAGTAGATTTTACCTCAAACCTTCAAGAATAGATCCTTAAAATCTCATTTTTACGCCCCTACTGGTAGTTTTTGAGTTGAAAATACTTAAATAGAAATTTGTTATTAATGTTTATTCAACCTTTGAAATTAAAATTTGTTTTTGTCACATTTAACAAAAATTTCGAACTTGGGGAAGGGTTGGAATTTCGGGATTTTATAGAGAACTCAATGGGCTATTAGAGGCTTTATTTGGACTTTTTCGAAACAAATTATCGCGCCACTTACAGAGTAGTGTGATTGAGATTATGATTTATTTTGAACAAAATCCACATAGAGCCTCGTAAGACAATGTAATGCCCTATATTAAATTCCAAATTGTTTTTTTTTCATAGAGTGTCTTCGAAAAGTTCCAGACCTTTGAATTTGAAGTTTTTTTTTAAAAAAACTATCTACATATCTACCATGTTTCCGATATTTCTAACTTTTTTCGAACACCCTGTACCTACAGAAATAAAACTTGCGGAATTTGTAAAAAATTCATTGGAATTTTATGAATTTAAAAAAATAAACTCAGGCAACTGATATTGTATTTTTCCAAAACAAAGCAATTTTTGTACTGGTTCAAAAAATACCCTCAGTATAATAATTGAGATTATCATTTATTTCGAACAGAATCCGAAAGCCTCTGAAAGACATAATGAAATGCTCTATTAAATTCCAAATTGTCATTTTCTTACAGTGTTTCCTAAAAGTTAGAGATTTTCGAAGTTGGAGTTTGTTTTTAATAGAGTATTTGACACATTTCAAAAATGTCTTAACTTTTTTCAAACACCCTGTACAGGATTTGAATTTTGCAATTTTATAGAGAACTCAGTGGGTTATTATAAATCTCACAATGATTCACAGAATTACAAATTCAAGATGTTGGATAAAGGATCTAAAAGTGGTAGTTGATGCAAAGTGAGTCTGCTGGGTGTTTGTATTTGCTATCTTCTAAAAATTTTTCAATATTGAAATTCTAGTAAGTAATTTGCATTTTGTAAGTCAGGTGAAGTTCCCTGAACGGAGTATATTAGTACTGTCTATAACTTCCAGTACCATTTGTATCCGATACTAGTGTGGAAATGTCCATATTTTCACAAAAACCCTTTTTTCGATGAATCGCAAATTATTAGTTTCGCCCCCTTAAGCCACCTCTAAAGAAATTTGCAAATCAAGTGAGGTTCCTCAAACGATGTATTTTGGTACTGCCTATAGTTTCCAGTACTGTTTGTGCCCGAGACTAGAGTAAAAATGTCCATATTTTCACAAAAACCCTTTTTTCGACGAATCGCAATTATTAGTTTCACCCCCTTAAACCACCTCCAAAGTAATTTGCAAGTCAAGTGAGGTTCCCCAAACGATGTATTTTTGTACTGCCTATAATTTCCAGTACTGTTTGTGCCCGAGACGGGTGGAAATGTTCATATTTTCACAAAAACCCTCTTTTCGATGAATCGCAATTATCAGTTTTACCCCCTTAAACCACCTCCAAAGTAATTTACAAGTCGAGAAAGGCTCCTCAAACGATGTATTTTGGTACTGCCTATAATTTCCAGTACTATTTGTGCCCGAAACTAGGGTGAAAATGTCAATATTTTCACAAAAACCCTTTTTTCGACGAATCGCAATTATTAGTTTCACCCCCTTAAACCACCTCCAAAGTAATTTGCAAGTCAAGTGAGGTTCCCCAAACGATGTATTTTTGTACTGCCTATAATTTCCAGTACTGTTTGTGCCCGAGACGGGTGGAAATGTTCATATTTTCACAAAAACCCTCTTTTCGATGAATCGCAATTATCAGTTTTACCCCCCTTAAACCACCTCCAAAGTAATTTACAAGTCGAGAAAGGCTCCTCAAACGATGTATTTTGGTACTGCCTATAATTTCCAGTACTATTTGTGCCCGAAACTAGGGTGAAAATGTCAATATTTTCACAAAAACCCTTTTTTCGAGGAATCGCAAATTATTATGAGGTTCCCCAAACAATGTATTTTGGTACTGCCTATAGTTTCCTGTACCGTTTGTGCCCAAAACTAGGGTGGAAATGTGAATATTTTCACAAAAACCCTCTTTTCGATGAATCGTAATTATTAGATCTACCCCCTTAAACCACAGTCAAAGTAATTTACAAGTCAAGAAAAGTTCCCCAAACGATGTATTTTGGTACTGCCTATAATTTCCAGTACTGTTTGTGCCCAAAACTGGGGTGGAGATGTTCATATTTTCACAAAAACCCTCTTTTCGATGAATCGCAATTATCAGTTTTACCCCCTTAAACCACCTTCAAAGTACTTTACAAGTCAAGAAAGGTTCCCCAAACGATGTATTTTGGTACTGCCTATAATTTCCAGTACTATTTGTGCCCGAAACTAGGGTGAAAATGTCAATATTTTCACAAAAACCCTTTTTCCGATGAATCGCAAATTATTAGTTTCACCCCCTTAAACCACCTCCAAAGAAATTTGCAAATTAAGTGAGGTTCCCCAAACGATGTATTTTGGTACTGCCTATAGTTTCCAGTACTGTTTGTGCCCAAAACTAGGGTGGAAATGTGAATATTTTCACAAAAACCCTCTTTTCGATGAATCGTAATTATTAGTTCTACCCCCTTAAACCACAGTCAAAGTAATTTACAAGTCAAGAAAAGTTCCTCAAACGATGTATTTTGGTACTGCCTATAATTTCCAGTACTGTTTGTGCCCAATACTAGGGTGGAAATGTCCATATTTTCACAAAAACCCTCTTTTCGATGAATCGCAATTATCAGTTTTACCCCCTTAAACCACCTTCAAAGTAATTTACAAGTCAAGAAAAGTTCCCCAAACGATGTATTTTGGTACTGCCTATAATTTCCAGTACTGTTTGTGCCCAATACTAGGGTGAAAATGTCAATATTTTCACAAAACCCCTTTTTTCGATGAATCGCAAATTATTAGTTTCACCCCTTAAACCACCTCCAAAGAAATTTGCAAATTAAGTGAGGTTCCCCAAACGATGTATTTTGGTACTGCCTATAGTTTCCAGTACTGTTTGTGCCCAAAACTAGGGTGGAAATGTGAATATTTTCACAAAAACCCTCTTTTCGATGAATCGTAATTATTAGTTCTACCCCCTTAAACCACAGTCAAAGTAATTTACAAGTCAAGAAAAGTTCCCCAAACGATGTATTTTGGTACTGCCTATAATTTCCAGTACTGTTTGTGCCCTATACTAGGGTGGAAATGTCCATATTTTCACAAAAACCCTCTTTTCGGTGAATCGCAATTATCAGTTTTACCCCCCTTAAACCACCTTCAAAGTAATTTACAAGTCAAGAAAGGTTCCCCAAACGATGTATTTTGGTTCTGCCTATAATTTCCAGTACTATTTGTGCCCGAAACTAGGGTGAAAATGTCAATATTTTCACAAAAGCCCTTTTTTCGATGAATCGCAAATTATTAGTTTCGCCCCCTTAAGCCACCTCCAAAGAAATTTGCAAATCAAGTGAGGTTCCTCAAACGATGTATTTTGGTA